CCCCCACAATACGTGACCCAATTTGCTCTTCACTCCTTAATCATTGCGCCCAAAACTTCCCAAAGCAATTAGACAAACCGAGGAGCCCAATTAACTCATCTCATTCATTCGCTTTATTCATTCGCAAATCGCCAGTGACCCTCCCATAGTTCCTCGTGGGGGTGGAGTCAGTGATGCATGCTTTCGAAAGCCGTCGAGTCCGGGAAAGCCTGAGATGCGAGCCGCGCGGCCCTCCCAGCCGTCGCCTCTTGCTACAGGCAGGGAATGAGGAGCTCTCCACCAGAAGACGGCCTAGCAACTGGGATCCTAGATCATTCCGGCCAAGAAGGGGGGCAAGAATAACCCCAACGTTCCTAACAAACAGACGATGATGAACATCCAGAGGAATATCCGGTCTATGACCATGGCCACGTACTTCCAGTCTTCCTTCACCTGGGGGGAAAGAAACGAACGTGAATGAAGGAAATTCTTTTAAAAATAGATACATATCAAGAAAAATGATCATTTAAAGAGAACCCGTCACATTGAGATGATGGGAGTTCCTGCTGATTCGATGATTGCAGGTTCGGAGGCTGTCATGGTGGACCCGGTTCCAATAATTACTTCACTAAACCTGAACCAAGCATGCAGCCAGTGAGGTGCGCATTCTTCTTCTAGGCCAAGAACAATTTTTTAGAATGACACCTTCCTGCAGCTTGTGTATCTGCTCCTAGGCCGATTGGTGCTGCCATCAAACTGAGGTGATATTGGCCAATTTTTACTCTCTGAAAACAGGAGAACAGATTCATTGATTTATTATTAGAAATGCACCCCCTGTGGCTTTTGTCTCCACCTTTAGGCCAGTTGGTGCTGCCAGCCTGCCAGCAAACTGTGGTGGCCGTAGGCAATTGCTGGATTCCACCCTACAGCTGTTCCTCCATTGACCCTGTTTATAAGGCCAAACCAAAAGGACTGAAGCTCTAATTCTTTTAGATAGACAACTCCCTGCGGCATCTCTCTCTGCTTCCAGGCCTATTGGCAATGCAATCATCTGTAGAACCATTGGCCAATTGTTAGCTACGCACACCTCTGAGGGCTGTAGCTTGCTTTAGGAAGACATTGGTCTGCGCCTTGGGCTGCTGAACTTGCCCGTTGGTTCCCCCGGTCAACCTGTGGAGCCACTGGCTAGTTTTTCCCCTTCCATACCTGAGGGTTCAAGCTCTAATGTTTTTTTTTTTTTAGAAATACACTGTTAGAATACATTATTGTATCTATTGCAATATAGGGGGGGGGGTCGGGGGCACAAAAATGCACCTTGCCTGTGTAGGCAAGCATCCTAGCACCGGCCCTGTATCAGACTGTGTGCTTGTGTTTCTCTGGGAGGCTGTGCAAGAAGTTCCAACATACAATTCTTTGTGCCTCAAATCCACCCCAATCTAAAAGAACACAAACCACCGTGCACCCCACCATTGTAATCCATGAGACTTTAAGTACAGTTCACTAACTCACCTACATTCATCAATCCCTATGTAAAGATCCCTCTCCCTGTCTTGTCGCTGTCCCCAGCTCCAACACACAGATGCTATCTATGTCCTACATGCTGCAGTTTTGCTGTGCTGCCCTGTGCGGTCCCAATCATGTGTATTGACTGGGATCCGTCAATGTACATTACAATGTTCCACATAATGTGTCCGCCCACCACTTTTGGCCGTGTTACCCGGCTATTGATCTGCAATCATGCTGTCAGGCCAGACTGTATGCCAAAATCCCAAAAAAGTAAACTGCAACTTGTTTATACTACTGAAGGACGACGGCATCTAACCTCTTACATGTACAGAAGATAGGAGTGCTCCAGTGATTCGTACTGCTATACTTTTAAAGCAAAACTCCGGGGCAATAAACCTGAATTTGACCCTGTACAGGGAGAAGAAGCATAAGAAGTGTATGAGGTGTTCTGTAGTGTATGTGGATAGGAGGGAAGAGCAGAGTGAACGAGAGATAAGCTCATCGGTCTGCTGCTCCTCCTTTCACTTTCCAGTCACAGGGTCGGAAGGGGACCTGTAAGTGAAAGTCCGTCCAAAGGGGACACCAAAGGGGGGAGCAGCACGTACTGCTACTCTGAAGGTTGCTGGCACACATGAAGGGGGAGCAGCGCAGAGAATGGCAGGACGAAGAAGAGGAGGAGGTGAGGCTGACACTGTTCTTCATAGGGGAAATCACAGGGCCCCCTAGCAAAATTTTGTATGATTTCTAATTATGCCCCTTGCAGAGCCAACCTGAGATCCCACACAGCCCACCTGAGAGTGACCCTGCAGAGCCCACCATAGACTCTCTATGGTGGGCTCTGCAGGGTCTCAGGTGGGCTGGTCACACCCCTGCACACCTCTTACCTGTCAGTCCCGATCCGCTGCCAGTCATCTCCACTGCCGGGCCCCGCCTCCTCCTCCTCCCAGGTCCCTGGCGGGCCCCGCCTCCTCTTCCACCCCCACCGGGCCTGGACTCTTCCTCCTCCGGGCCCCACCTCCTCTTCTGCTGCTTCCACCGGGCCCCGGCCTCCTCCACCACAGCTGCTGGCTGTCACAGACTCAGCAGTGGCTGTGAGGCGGAACGCGCCACTGCACAGCTCACTCACAGGCACTTTGTTCCTTAGGTCCGCCACTGCACAGTACGGGTGTAGACCTTTGCTATGACTGGGCACTGACAACTCCTACAACATTTCCAATCGGTCTCTCTATCTCCTACATTTATACACTCAGAGCCAGGATTGTGGGGGTGCTGGAGGAACAATTCCCGCGCGGTGCTAGAGTGTTCGGGTTTCGTTTTGAAGAAAAGGTGGCAACCCTAAGTGAAATCTATGGGGAAGGAGGGGAAAAATGTTGTTAAAGGAGAACTATGAGGGGGGGGTGCTTTTCACTCACCTCATAGTTCTAGCCGACCTGTGACAATGAGACTGTCACAGGTCGGCTCAGTAGATCGGGAGGTGAGCGAACATATACCGGCGTTCGCTCACCTCTCGATCCTGTCACGGCTCTCTGCCATGACAGGGGAGGGGCTGGATTTCCCCCTCCCTGCTCCGATCCTCCAGCGCTGACTGGAAGAACGGACGGGGGAGGGGGCGGGTACAGCTGGCTCTGCCTCTAGATAGGCAGAGCCAGCTGTCAGTCACGCAGCTGGGCGGATCCCGGCACAATTGTCGGGATCCGCTTCAGCATCTCAGTATACCGCGAGCAGCTGCTCGCGGTATACTGCGGCGTCTCAGTATACTGCGAGCTACAGCTTACTATATACTGAGCCTAGGGTGATGGGAGGACGCTAGTTTGTGTCCTCCCGTTACCCTAAGGAGAACTATGGGGAAAAGACTTAACTCCATAGTTTTCCTTTAAATTGTAGCCAATAGGGCTAGTAGGCAAACTACCATCAAAAAATAAAGGCATGAGTGGCTGGGCACTGCCATTGGGGACAAGTACCATGACTTTGAGGGCAACATGATAGCAGCAAACCAGAACCTCATCCCTACTGACCTGGAACAAGTATGCCAATAGGGACTAACAACTTCACCTTGACTCTCCAGGTCCGCATACTCATTCTGGAATCGTGAATCAGACATATTTAAAACTAGACGGTTCTAGTAATATCCAGGCAACTAGCATGTTCAGAAAGAAACCAAAAAAGCAGTCCTCATGTTTCCCTCGGGACATAAAACAATATTGCTGAGCCCTGTCAAGCACCAACAAGAATGTCATCTCAGTTATTGATTCATGCAAGTGCTCAGCTGTGAATGCCGCGGCCTGGTGACCTGGTATTTAATTATTACTAAAGCCATCCTGAGCCAAAAAAATATTCCAGAGGAAGGTTCCCTTCA